GAGATGATTGCCATTTTATTCTTCGTCGTTTTTAGATTTCTCCTTATAGACCAGTGACATGTTTCATGAGACGATCATGTTTCTTTAAACCCAACAACTCTCCGCTCTTGATGCCCAAAGGTGCCCTGTCTGTCCGGTCTAGCTGTTTGAGGAATTTAATTTGACTAAAAACTGTGCCTGCTTTGAAGTACTGTTACAGCATTTATTTAAAAATGTAGTGTGCCTTAAAAATAATTATAACATTGTTAAAAAGGCTTGTACTGATTCTTATACCTACGAATTATGCGTATCAGCCCTTTTTTTTTAAAATTGTTATTCAATTCAGAACATTTGAGTAGATTTATATTTTAAATATGACAAAAATATTTTTCTACAACAATAGTGTTTACAACAGGACAATCACTATATAAACTCAAATAATAAATCTAAAAATGTCAAAAATTATGATCACAATAATGCATACTGTAGACACACAATCAACACACACACACACACACACAAACACACACACACACACACACACACCTACCTCTGTCTATAGATTTGTTAAACTTTTTCAACTTTTTTTTTCATGAAAATAAATCACTAAATTCATAACTTGATCTTCTTCATTACATTTCCAGAAAGAGTTTAATTGGCTACCATTTTTTTCTTATTTAATAAATTTTTCTTGTTTAATTCCTTCATCTGGTTGTCGCTACAGAGCACTCTACGCCAAAACCAAAGCTTGTTTCTCAATCTGCGTTCTTATCCGTTCTTGTGTTCTTGTGAAACGTCGTCAGTCGCAGCCAAAGTCCTGTTCCAATTCAAAAGTCTGCATGTTGCCCAGTTCAGTCAAATACCCGGATGTGTTCTCGCTGCGTCCGTTTTACCGAGCCTGCATCGGCGGTGACTTGTGTGGACTTATAGCCAGATATTGAATAGCCAGATATCCCATAATGCATTTCGCCGCCAAAAAGCGGAAATGTCAGAGGAGAAAACTCACAACTGTTATAATATTGTTGTTCTTGTGTCACATATAGTAGTTTTAAGAGTTTTTTTATGTGGGAATATAGTTGTTTAAACTCCAAATATGTGGTTGATTTCTCAAGACAGAGCTGATTTAAAAATTTGCTACGACGTTTTCGGAGATGTGAGGTCCCGCCCGCTAACAGGTCCAACTGTCATAAAGTCCGCTGCTGTTCCAACTGCTGAATGACTGACTGCGGCTCGGGAGTTTGTACTCGGGAGTTTGTATTCCCGAGCCGAACTTGCCAAGTCCGAGCTTTAAAGTACAGAAGTCTGAACTTGGCGAACTCGGTGTTGAGAAACAGCCCAACAGACACATGAACAGTTTCTCTCCACAAGCCATCACATCAACAATGTCAGGAACAATTCCTGTGCAATAACCCAGTAACTCTGTGAACACTTAATTATTCATTATTCTCTATTTCAGAGCTGTTCATATTGTGTGTATACTGTACACCAAATCCACCTACCTCAAGTAAATAACACTCGCGCTTAATACTTATTTATTCCAGCATCCTTTGCACTATGTGTGTATCTTTATATCACGTCCACCTCCGACATACATAATATTAATAATAATTTACCTCTGCGCCCAATGTACTTTGCTCAATGCACTATTGTCTCAATCTGTCTATACTGTTTTTGTTTATAGTTATAATATAGTTATAATGTGAACTGTCCACAGCTTGCAAGTGACCCGCATGCGCAGAAGAATAAAATGACGTGACACGCAGCACGCTGTCGTACAGACGTAAATAGAGCAACAGAGGTTAGCGCAGGTTAGCTCATACTTGCTAACCCTTGTGATTTTCACCGGAGAATCATGATTTCATTCCTTTCATTGCCCTTTTATGGTTTCCCCCCGGGTCACATTTCTTCTGATTTATGACAAAAACTTTTCTGTCGTTTTCATTAGATTCATTAGATTTTTACTTTCATCTCTGTCATTACAAAAATACCCCATATCTCTCTCTCTGCTGTAAACACTCGCAAGGTAGCATGAACGTGACTCTGAAGAGAGTTCGCAATCCGGTGGATTTCAGGTTAAAGAAAGGGAATTTGTGAGAAAATGATAGCAAGGTAGAGAACAAAGTGAGCCACATGTTTAATAATGGCTTTTTTGTCCACTGTCTAGCGCATAATTGTGAGAAGCTGCTCTATAGTGATTTCAGAATTGCATGAATTTCAATCTGACCGTCCAGACTGATGTCACATTTAAAACAAATCTGACGTCTATCTGATTTGGACCACATATGAAAGTGGCCCAAATTCGAACTGGAAAGGATCCGATTCTGTTCACACTGTGGTGGGTCACTTTGGCCTGCAGAGGCTGTGATCATGCACAACAAAACATGCAAGAATTGAATAGTAGTGGTGCAACAAATTGACCAAGTTGCAACATCAGGACAGAAGGCACTTCCTGCGGGGAACCCTGATCAAACTTGTCATTTAAAACCAAGCCGCTTTCTATGAGCTGACTGACAAACCGCTGATCCTTCATAAATACAACCAGAGCTTTACTCATGCGTGAGACACGACACGAGATGTGAGCTTCATGTATTTCTGCAGTTTATCTTCATTAGAGGGTAAAACCTGCAGAGCTCTGCTGCTGTTGTTAACCACACTCTCACTAAAACTTCCTCAGATCTCTGAACAAAAATAATTTCATGATAACTTTAGAGACATGATAACTGTCTGAAGAAAGCTGCATTTTTGCAAACATTTATCTTAACTAACAATCTTCACAACTTCAACTTACTCTTCTTCTTCTTTTCAGGAGGTGAAACACGTCATTGTCATAAATACACAGCCGGTCTGGACAAAGTGGCTCAATGCAGAAACATATTCCTTTGTCTTATATTGTGACAAAATAAATCAAAAATGTAAAAGTGAAAATTGTAACAGAGGGTTTGGCTGTTTGGGCATCGACAAGAAATTCAGAGTCTCAGTGACCCCAAACCTTCCAGGGGTTAAAGTTGTTTTCAACAGAATTTGATAAGTACATCTTTGTCCTGTGTCCTAATAAAGTGTGAGCCTCATGTGTTTCTGATGTTTATCTGGTCATCATTAAAGGGTAAAACCTGCAGAGCTCTGCTGCTGTTGTTAACCACATCCTCACAGAAACACTTCCTCTTCACATCTCTGAACAAAAATATCTGCAAAGATAAAATGAGGAACCAGCAGATCTCAGAGCAGTAAAATATCATCTTATCTGTGTTCTTCAGCAGCTGCTACAGTATCACCATATTGCACCATGGACATCAGGAGTCAGATTCTGGTGGGAGAGGAGTTTGACTCTTCACCTGTCTGTTCATGTGTGCTGTCAAACATCACCATGGATCCTGTCTGTTTTCTAATAAACACTATCTGAAGAAAACAAGTTGCATCATTGCAAACATTTATCTTAACTAACAATCTTCACACCTTCAGCTTCCTCTTCTTCTTCTTTTCGCTTGGTGAAACACGTCATATAAATAAATAGACCTGAATGAACAAAGTGTGAACTCTGATGGCTGCATCTCATGTTGCTGATCAAGAATTTGGGGTCTCTGTCAGTCACTGTGGATGAGAGAAAACTACATTTCTAAAATGTAAAAGTGAAAATTGTAACAGAGTTTTTGGCTGTTTGGACATCGACAAGAAATTCAGAGAGACTGAAATCTAAAACAGACCAAAAGTCACTATGAGGAAGTGACATCATCCTAACCACAGGAAGTAGCTGCAGTGTCTCTCTACTAAAGCACTAGTTTAGAAACTCAGACAGTTCTGAGCACGAGAACAAGAGACAGAAGAAGGAGAGACTCAGAGAATCATGATGGTTGAGTTCAAATGGATTTCTTTATTTCTTCCAGCGGTGCTTCAGTTTACAGGTAAGAATACATATATCACATATATAAATGGAAGGCACATTGTAAAAAATAACTTGATCAATATTATTAAAGATTCTTTATTAGCTACATTTGATTTAACTAAGAAAACCAAATCTGTTGTTTCTAATGTGGTGAGTTTAGTGAACTCTTGGAAACTAAGGATAAAGAAATAATCGTCACTAACTATGAACATAACAGACATTTTCTCATTTCACTTTATTTTTCATCATTTTCTCAACAGCAACAGCTGAAAAACTTCCCCTCTCCTTCACTGTCAGAGTTGGAGATGACGTCACTTTGCCTTGTGAAAATGTGATAGATGGTCAGCAAGAATGTGAAAATACTACATGGCTCTTTGCTGGTTCAGGAAACACAGCAGCAGTAAAGCTGATTGAACTTGGGCAGATTGGTGAAAATGCCAAAGCTAAATCAGACAGACTGAGTGTTACAGAGAACTGTTCTCTGGTTATAAAGAAGGTCACAGTCGAGGATGTTGGTCGTTACGACTGCAGACAGTTCAACAAATCAGACAAACAACAAGTTCCAGACTCTCATGTTTATCTGTCTGTTATTATCAGTGAGTATTTCCATCATAATGTTTTCAGCTCAAACTGTCTTGTTAGAACAATATACTGAAATATTACAATAATTATGATCACAGTGATGAAGTTAACTTTACTCTTGTTGTCTTTCTCTCACAATATCTCCATCTTCACCAGTGACTGAACGTAAGGATGCTGATGAGGTGACGTTAACCTGCTCTGTGTCGAAATATGAACAGTCCTGTAATCACACAGTGAAGTGGCTGTATGAGGGTAAAGATGTGGACAAAGATAACAAAGACATGAAGACATCACAGTCTGTCTGCAACGCCACTGTGTCTTTCCTGGATTCTCATTTTAGTTACAAATCAAAGTCTAACTTGAAGTGTGAAGTGACAGATGGTTCCTCTGGAAAAGTGCAGCTGTTCACCTTCAGCCCTCAGTCCTCAGGTGAGAAAACAGGTGAGAATATGCTGAGCTGTTCAAGATGACTAAAACCACCAAAACATTTGTTTATTTGATGACTTTTCACAGTGATGAACTTTGCTCTTGTTTTCTTTCTCTCACAATATCTCTGACAACAGAATCAACAACAACAGCAACAACATCACCTAAATCAACAAGAACAACTGAAAACAGCACAAAATCAGTTTCTCACATTTTACAAAAAAGTGAGTGGACCCCATATTTACCTCCCATAAAGGGCAGTTGGTTCTAGGACCAATCTTCTTCTTCTAGGAAAATCTTTAGCCAGATCTTTATTGGTATATCATTTTTATATTTCTTCAGATGACATAGAAAGCTCTCCTTGCTTTGTCCCACAGATCTTTCACAGCCATGTTGAAGTTTCCTGTTGTGCTCATGTTTAAGCCCAGAAATGTGTAATTTATGTAATCATGATCTTAGACTTGCAGTGTAAGGCAGATTGTTCTAGTGTTTTTGCAAATGTAACGATATATATTTCGAGAGTTGGACTCAAATTACAACCCTGGTATAAGCCACTCTCTTGTAAAATATTCTGTATGTTTATTATCAATTTTCACCAAACATTTATTATTTCTATACATTGATTTTAAGATGTCATGTTTTCCCTCCAACACCACTCAGCCATTAATAGATTAAGCCATCTCTCTCTCTCTCCTCTCTTCTGAAGTCAGAGTGACACTCGACTGTGGGTGGAGGTATTCATTTATTCAGTCAAATGTGTTCACACAAAATAAATTAACAAATTAGTAGATTTTTATTCTCTTTCCAGATTTGTGGCTCATCATTATGTCTGTGGGACTTACAGCTCTCTTAATAACTGTTGTTATTGTTGTTGCTCTCATCAGATGGAAGAAAACTAAAGGTGAGAGCAACCACAGATATTATAAACAAGAAGTTTTGATGAACCTGGATTTTTATTGTTGAAGCTAAAGTCGACTCTCTTTTGTCTCTTCAGGAAAAAAACCCCAGATGGATGAAAACACTGTGAGTTTTACGGCTGAGTAATCAAATGTTTCTACAGTTATGACAGAGCTGAATCAGCTGCTCTCTGACAGAGTCATCCAAATCTAAACAGCCTTCACAGAGCCAGTGTTTGACCACATGGAAGTAGACTCTGTTTGTTTGTTGTTTTCAGGGACGGAGCTTAAACCCTGCAGTGAGTCCAGAAAGCAGTCAGGACACGGTGAGATCTCACACTACACCCAGGACAAAGTTACACTCACTGTTTTTAGATTTGTTGTTCAAAATGTAGCTCTATGAGACACACAGTGACTCTTGAATCTAAGCTGTTTCTGCAAGAGAAGAAGTGGGGAGTCTGATGATGCAGCTGGACGAAACCAGAACAGACCAGAACACAATCAAGTCCACATGTTACTGAGCAGCCATTATGTTGTCTTCTCTGTGTAGGCTGATCCTGAAGATGGTGTTTCCTACGCCTCCATCAGCTACACCAGGAAGACCAACAGTAAAGGCCGGGTAAGCTGTCTGATTGGTTCTAGTGATGATGGCAGTGAATGAAAACACTTCTCTCATTTAATGTTGTGTAATTTCTGTGTTGTGCTGTTTGTCTCTTTTCCAGGTTCTGGGTAAAGATGGTGATGATGAAGATGATGCAGTGATCTACAGCAGCGTGAAAGCTTCCTCTTCTTCTGCTGGAGCCTCAGCTGATCCCAGCGACCTCTACGCCACCGTCAACAAACCAAACAAATAAGAGACCACAGTGTAGTTACAGCTCATATCATTACAGGTAATTTACACTGAGAACTGATAAATGTTTTATTATTTGAATTATTTTATGATAATATATGGGACATTTAGCTTGATGAACTTGCTGTCAGGCACTTTAATGTGCTAGTGCTGTGTTGTAGTTAAACATGTATTAGTTTTTACTGTTATTTCTGTATCAACTGTTATTGTTTGATATGCAGTCATTTTAACATCTATATTTCTGTAGAGGTTTAACACCTCCAGAGCTCTTTGCACCTTCTTCTTCTTCGTCTTCCTTTCATGTGGTGAAACAGGTCATTGTCACAAAAACAAAGTGTGAACTTGAGGCTCAGTGTGAATCTAAATATAGTTTATTCTAACTGTCATGTTTCAGAGGAAACTGGCAGTGGTGAAGCCGTTCCTACGAGTCAGAGACAGGAAATATAAAGACCACGTTCAGTTTTACTTGATCCAGGCAGGCAGAGTCAGAACAGCAGGTAATAATGCTGCATTTGACACATGAAGTTGGATTTTCCCAGTTTCCAGTCGTAAATTCCAACTTGAACGCCCCCTTAAGGAGACAGAGTGTTACACACTTCTCTGCGCTTCCATTTCAGCTTTTACCAAAACTTCATAGTGACGGCGTCTGCCCCCCCGACCATTTAAATTAATTAAATCAAAGATAAAGTGAAGAGGAGCTGTGCATAAAACTGTAATAAAAGTTAAAACCACTGCTGTAATAGTATAAAAGAAATTAAAGGTGTAAATGTATAAAAATATAACAGAATATGATGCAGTATTTAGCTGCAATTTTTGGACAATGCACGTTTGTTTTTTCTATATTTAAATTGCAAATAAACGTTTCTCAAAGCATTTTTATTTGTTAGTTCACATTTCTTGGTGCAAGCTATTTTTCAGAACATTATTAACAAATGCTCTCAAAAAGTGATGTGGACAAAATCAGGCATTTCAAAATGTGGTGGGGACACATGTCCCCAGTGTAAATGACATGTTGATTCCACATTCAGACTTAAGAGCACATGAACACAGAAAAACTCAGAAGAATGACTTCACAACTCGGGAAATGGGACGATCTGAGTTTTAGTTACCCACTAGATGAAACTAAAACTTAAGTGTTTTTATCTGCTTTAAAACACGTCTGGTTGTTAGACCGGTTCAGAAGCAGCTCTGCATGACGACTGTTGGAGCCTTTAGATCTTTTTCACAGCAGACGTGTTTAATTGTCAGGACTCTGAAACTGAAGCAGCTAAATGGAATCCAGCCATCATTAATTGTTTAATTTAAATCTGTTTTCCTGCTGTGCTGTGTCAAAATGTCTTGTATGAAAAAAACAGATGTGTGTGTTTTGGTCAGGTTAGTATTGAATCTGGATATTTTCCCGTTCAGGCCAGTAGGGGCTGATTAATGTTATTGTGCAGGTCCTGACTGGGACATAATATAATGCTCCTGAACACTGAGTTGTTTTAGATCGAGGGAAGTTTCATCAACTGCAACAAGTCAAACTTTAAGTTCTCTGCATCTCACACTGTGAAATCATCTGTGTTTGTTTACTGAAGCCATCAGTTAGCAGCAAGCCAGTAGGACTGTCAACAAATCCCACGAAAAGTACTATTAAAACCAGTCAGTGACCTTCACTGCTGCACTGGGTGACACGTTCTGAAGAAAACAACATTTATCTTAACCAACAATCTTCACACGTCAACTTCCTCTTCTTCTTCTTTTAAGGAGATGAAACTCGTCATTGTCACAAACACACCGGACTGAACAAACTGTGAACTTGAGCCTTAATATAGTTTGTTTGTTTCAGTGTTAGTTTGGCTCAGTGCAGAAACATATTCCTTTGTCTCGTTATCAGTGACTTTGTCGTATGTGTTTGTAGATGGTGGATCTTTGTCAGGCTGCTGTGACCTCTGACCTCTGACCTCTTTACTGTTGGCTGCATCTCATACTGCTGATCAATAATTTGGGGTCTCCGTCAGTCACTGTGGGTGAGAGATGTTACGACCCCTCCCCCTTCCTGCTTCCTTCTCCTGCAGGAGGCTGCAGGCAGGGAGGCTGATTGGGCAATCACCTGTGCAGCTCTCTTCAGAGCTTATTTAGCCAGGACTGATCAGTCTTTTGTTCTCTCTCCTCCTAAGTCAGCGTCTGACTGGGTTTGTTTTGTGTCTTTTTGGTTTATCCTGACCACACACACACACACACACACACACACACACACACACACACACACACACACACACACACACACACACACACACACACACACACACACACACACACACTCATCCATTCACTGCTGACACAACTGATATTCATACTTTTCCACACAACATATTTTTGGTGATCATTTGACCCTTCTTTTACTTTTATTATAAATCCTACCATTTGCGTGCAAACCTGTTGTGTCTCACCTCCTTTTTGTCACGGGCTAAGAGCTGGCTTGTGACAAGTGGGGGCTCGTCTGGAACTTGTTGTTATTTGGTGTTGATCGGCTTGTTTTGTGTAGCATCCAGCTATTTTGGTATTTGTTTACCAGTCTGTGAGGTAAATGTCAGGTTTGGTTAGGTCAGTTAAAGCTCCGTAGGAGAGAGGTTCATGGTCCTTTTGTCAGTGGTTTAGCTCTGCTGGCTGAATTTGTTTTGTTGGACCTTAGCTGGGTTTTCTAGTGTGAGCAGGAGAACTTTCCCCTGTTAGGCTTAACAGCGATTTCCCTTCGTGGTGTGGTGGTTTAGGTGGCGGTGAACGTGGGTAGAGCTTTGCTCGGGAGCACCTCCGCGGCTGTGACGGGGTCACTGGCTTTCTGGTTGCCCTTTTTCACCCCACTGGTTTCGAGTGCATAAGTACCCTCCACAATTAGCTGCACGAAGACTAGGGGGGAGTTGGCTAGATAGTCATTGTTGAAGTTAGCATGGGTATAGGGGGAGTCTTCTGCTCAGGTAGCCCAGGGTTTTATCTGTAATGGAGGGCGTAGTGCATCATTTAAAACTGACACCTGCCGATATTGTCGTGCCAACGGTCATTGGAAGAATGATGCCCCGTGTTGAAAGTAGACCGGCTGTTTCTTCAACCATACAATTTAGACATACGCCATTTTAATGCCATGTGTTTCTTTTCCTATTCCTCTTCTTTCATTGTTTGTTTCCCTGTTCTTCCTCTTAAAGTGCTCGTTTCATTTATTTAATTTAATTTATTATATTATATTATTATATATTTATATTTTATATATATTTTTAACACACACACACACACACACACACACACACACACACACACACACACACAAGCTTACCGTTTTATTTATTTATTTAATTAAAATTTTTAATATATTTTTTTTAACACACACATATACGCTTTGATTGCTTTACGTTTAATTACTTGTTTAATGAAATGTATGGGGTTGATTGTTCTTATGTTGTATGTATGATGCTTTGGCAATATTGTTGTTACACATTCATGCCAATAAAGCTAATTTGAATTGAATGCAGCTTGATTAGTAAAGTATGGCACATGGGTAATGTGTTGATAAATTATGGATCAGCTTGATTATATTGTAACATGAATGGTTATGAGTGTATATTGTACTGCTAACTGCTCTATGCCAAATTCAAGGTTCTTAGAAGAACCTTGTTCTTAAGGGGGGGATGTTACGACCCCTTCCTTCTCCTGCAGGAGGCTGCAGGCAGGGAGGCTGATTGGGCTGCACCTGTGCAGCTCTCTTCAGAGCTTATTTAGCCAGGACTGATCAGTGTTTTGTCTTCCAACCAACGATACTTCAACAAAACTACAAGGTAGTAACTCATCTTTCTCTGGAGTCTCTCTGTCTTCCTGTCAGCCTCTTTCTCTCCCCATAATAAACACATGAATCTAACTTTTAAGTGTTTCATTTAGTTCTTGTTGATTTTTTTCTGTTCTACAGCTCGTGCAGATTGTTCTGCTCTGGACTACATAATGTTGGTTATGCGTGTGGCTGAACTCCTCCTAATTACTGTGATTACTGTTCTTCTCATCAGAGCTCGAGGTGAGAACATTCACACCAACATTTGTTCACCCTGATTAACATAACCTGTAAGTTTAGAGCTGAAATATTTCTCTGTGATTTATTTACCTGGTAACCAGAGACTACCTGACAACAACACAGTGACCTACAGCAGCGTGAAAGCTTCCTCTTCTTCTGCTGGAGCCTCAGCTGATCCCAGCGACCTCTACGCCACTGTCAACAAACCAAACAAATAAGAGACCACAGTGTAGTTACAGCTCATATCATTACAGGTAATTTACACTGAGAACTGATAAATGTTTTATTATTTGAATTATTTTATGATAATATATGGGACATTTAGCTTGATGAACTTGCTGTCAGGCACTTTAATGTGCTAGTGCTGTGTTGTAGTTAAACATGTATTAGTTTTTACTGTTATTTCTGTATCAGCTGTTATTGTTTGATATGCAGTCATTTTAACACCTATATTTCTGTAGAGGTTTAACACCTCCAGAGCTCTTCGCACCTTCTTCTTCTTCGTCTTCCTTTCATGTGGTGAAACGGGTCATTGACACAAATAAAAAGTGTGAACTTGAGGCTCAGTGTGAATCTAAATATAGTTTATTCTAACTGTCATGTTTCAGAGGAAACTGGCAGTGGTGAAGCCGTTCCTACGAGTCAGAGACAGGAAATATAAAGACCAAGTTCAGTTTTACTTGATCCAGGCAGGCAGAGTCAGAACAGCAGGTAATAATGCTGCATTTGACACATGAAGTTGGATTTTCCCAGTTTCCAGTCGTAAATTCCAACTTGAACGCCCCCTTAAGGAGACAGAGTGTTACACACTTCTCTGCGCTTCCAGTTCAGCATTTACCAAAACTTCATAGTGACGGCGTCTGCCCCCCCGACCATTTAAATTAATTAAAACTGTAATAAAAATTAAAACCACTGCTGTAATAGTATAAAAGAAATTAGGAGAATTAAAGGTGTAAATTTATAAATAAATAACAGAATATGATGCAGTATTCAGCTGCAATTTTTGGACAATGCACATTTGTTTTTTCTATATTTAAATTGCAAATAAACGTTTCTCAAAGCATTTTTATTTGTTAGTTCACATTTCTTGGTGCAAGCTATTTTTCAGAACAACATCAGCCATTTCAAAATGTGGTGGGGACACATGTCTCCAGTGTAAATGAGATTTGTTGATTCCACATTCAGACTTAAGAGCACATGAACACACACTGAAGTCAGAAGAATGACCATCTGAGTTTTAGTTACCCACTAGATGTAACTAAAACTTAAACACTGAACGGTATCACTTTCTATGAAGGTCATCGCTATAATGACTTATGCATATATTTATAACACGATATAATGCATCCATAAGACATTATAATAGTTGTTATAATCACTTACAAACATGCATTAGGCGCTATAGCAAAGTTCATAATGTATTATGACCTTCTGATTTAATGTTTTATAACTAATAGTAACAGCAGTTTAACAATCTCCGACCATGTTCCATAACACATTATAACCACCGACTCTGCCTCCTTATGAATACACTTTAGTCACCATTTAGACTTAGTGATATAAAATGGAATAATAACTTATAGTAATGTTTAATGTTATATAGCGTGTCTTTGTTTGCTTTAAGTGTTAAAATATCTATCCCTGTATAATATATTACAGGTGGACATGATACCATATGAACTAATTATAAGAACTTATAACACGTAATTGTTTGCTTTAAGTAAAGTGACACATTTAGCTCAGGAAAACAACTTTATACAGTGAAGAATGACACCTGACTGATTAAAGGAACAATCTGATGATTTGCAATATTTTTATTATTTTCAACAAATCCCACGAAAAGTACTATTAAAACCAGTCAGTGACCTTCACTGCTGCACTGGGTGACACGTTCTGAAGAAAACAACATTTATCTCAACCAACAATCTTCACACGTCAACTTCCTCTTCTTCTTCTTTTAAGGAGATGAAACTCGTCATTGTCACAAATACACCGGACTGAACAAACTGTGAACTTGAGCCTTAATATAGTTTGTTTGTTTCAGTGTTAGTTTGGCTCAGTGCAGAAACATATTCCTTTGTCTCGTGATCAGTGACTTTGTCGTATGTGTTTGTAGATGGTGGATCTTTGTCAGGCTGCTGTGACCTCTGACCTCTGACATCTTTACTGTTGGCTGCATCTCATATTGCTGATCAAGAATTTGGGGAAGAATTTGATTCATAGGGAGAAAGAGAACTAATGAAAGCAGTTGATGATACTCAGTTAAATTTGGCTATGAGTTTAAGGACTAAAGATAATGGATCAGCAGACTATTGGACATCACTGATCACAGAATGCCTTGTTTTGCCTTACTGTGTGTCGCTGGCCTGTCTTGGCCTGTTGCACGGGTCCCCACGCTAGCTGCCCGATTCCTGGCTCTCTGCTAGGGAATTTTCCGGAGGTTCTCCGTGTCTGAATGAAGAAAAACAGTCCAGTGTTGACCGTCCTCGTCCTGGCAGTTAGGCTGTTCTGGTTTGGATGTCCTTTGGGTTACTGCTGGCAAGGCGGGCCCACGTGGCTGGGTCCGGGCTTCGGTGGGAGCAGTGTAAGGTAGCTCGACGGAATAACTTAAAAGAACTTGGTTGTTCTTTAATTAAAGTAACTTAACGGTCTGATAACTTTTAACAAACAAAACAAAAGAGAAAAAAAGCAAGTAAAGTTCCAAATTTATTTGATATAAAATGAATAAATCCACACTGGTTTGTTCACGACAGTCCTTTTGTCAGTGGTTTAGCTCTGCTGGCTGAATTTGTTTTGTTGGACCTTAGCTGGGTTTTCTAGTGTGAGCAGGAGAACTTTCCCCTGTTAGGCTTAACAGCGATTTCCCTTCGTGGTGTGGTGGTTTAGGTGGCGGTGAACGTGGGTAGAGCTTTGCTCGGGAGCACCTCCGCGGCTGTGACGGGGTCACTGGCTTTCTGGTTGCCCTTTTTCACCCCACTGGTTTCGAGTGCATAAGTACCCTCCACAATTAGCTGCACGAAGACTAGGGGGAGTTGGCTAGATAGTCATTGTTGAAGTTAGCATGGGTATAGGGGGAGTCTTCTGCTCAGGTAGCCCAGGGTTTTATCTGTAATGGAGGGCGTAGTGCATCATTTAAAACTGACACCTGCCGATATTGTCGTGCCAACGGTCATTGGAAGAATGATGCCCCGTGTTGAAAGTAGACAGGCTGTTTCTTCAACCATACAATTTAGACATACGCCATTTTAATGCCATGTGTTTCTTTTCCTATTCCTCTTCTTTCATTGTTTGTTTCCCTGTTCTTCCTCTTAAAGTGCTTGTCTGGTACTGAGGTTGCAGAACTGGTGTGATGGGAGAATGAAAAACACACAGACGTTACTGTTTCATTTATTTATTTTATTTATTTTATTTTTTTAACACACACACACACACACACACGCTTACCGTTTTATTTATTTATTTTATTTTTAATATATTTTTATTTTTTAACACACACACGCTTACCATTTTCTTTCTTTATTTTATTTAAATTTTTAATAGACATATTTTTTTAAACACACACACGCTTACTGTTTTTGTATTTATTTTATTTTTAATATATTTTTAGTTTTTTAAAACACACACACACACACACACACACACACACACACACTTACTGTTTTATTTATTTATTTAATTTCAATTTTTAATATCTATATGTATTTTTGTTTGAACACACACACGCTTACTGTTTTATTTATTTATTTTATTTTTTATATATTTTTGTTTTTTAAACACACACACACACACACACACACATACACACACGCTTACTATTTTATTTATTTATTTATTTTATTTTTATTTATTTTAATTTTTAACACACACACACGCTTACTGTTTTATTTATTTTATTTTATTTTTAATATATTTTTTGCTTTTTAAACACACACACACACACACACATACACACATACACACACTTACTGTTTTATTTTATTTGATTTTTAATATATTTTTTTAACACACACACACGCTTACTATTTTATTTATTTATTTATTTTATTTTTTATTTATTTTAATTTTTAACACACACACACGCTTACCGTTTTATTTATTTATTTGATTTTTAATATATTTTTATTTTTTTAACACACACACACACGCTTACCATTTTCTTTCTTTATTTTATTTTAATTTTAATACACATATTTTTTTAAACACACACACACGCTTACTGTTTTTGTATTTATTTTATTTTTAATATATTTTTAGTTTTTTAAACACACACACACACACACACTTACTGTTTTATTTTATTTTTAATATATATTTTTTAACACACACACATGCTTACCGTTTTATTTATTTATTTTATTTTTAATATATTTTTAGTTTTTTAAACACACACACACACACACATACACACACTTGCCGTTTATTTATTTATTTTATTTTTAATATATTTTTAGTTTTTTAAACACACACACACACACACACACACACACACACTTACCGTTTTAATTATTTATTTTTAATATATTTTTAGTTTTTTAACATACACACACACTTACTGTTTTATTTTATTTTATTTTTAATATATATTTTTTTAACACACACACATGCTTACCGTTTTATTTATTTATTTTTAATATATTTTTAGTTTTTTAAACACACACACACACACACACACACACACACACACATACACACACTTACCGTTTTATTTATTTATTTTATTTTTAATATATTTTAGTTTTTTAAACACACACACACACACACATACACACACTTACCGTTTTATTTATTTATTTTATTTTTAATATATTTTTAGTTTTTTAAACACACACACACACACACACACACACATACACACACTTACTATTTTATTTTTTAATATATATATTTTTAACACACACACGCTTAGTGTTTTATTTATTTATTTTATTTTTAATATATTTTTTGTTTTTTAAACACACACACACACACACGCTTACTATTTTATTTTTAATATATTTAAATTTTTTAACACACACACATGCTTACCGTTTTATTTATTTATTTAATTTAAATTTTTAATATCTATATGTATTTTTGTTTAAACACACACACACGCTTACTGTTTTATTTATTTATTTTATTTTTAATATATTTTTAGTTTTTTAATCACACGCACACATACACACACACGCTTACTATTTTATTTATTTATTTATTTTATTTTTAATATATTTTAATTTTTAACACACACACACGCTTACTGTTTTATTTATTTTATTTTATTTTTAATATATTTAATTTGTAACACACACACACACACGCTTACTATTTTATTTTATTTTTAATATATTTTAATTTGTAACACACACACACACACACGCTTACTATTTTATTTTATTTTTAATATATTTTTTTTAACATACACACACGCTTACTGTTTTATTTATTTATTTTATTTTTAATATTTTTTATTTTTTTAACACACACCTGAAATATTTCTCTGTGATTTATTTACCTGGTAACCAGAGACTACCTGACAACAACACAGTGACCTACAGCAGCGTGAAAGCTTCCTCTTCTTCTGCTGGAGCCTCAGCTGATCCCAGCGACCTCTACGCCACCGTCAACTAACCAAACAAATAAGAGACCACAGTGTAGTTACAGCTCATATCATTACAGGTAATTTACACTGAGAACTGATAAATGTTTTATTATTTGAATTATTTTATGATAATATATGGGACATTTAGCTTGATGAACTTGCTGTCAGGCACTTTAATGTGCTAGTGCTGTGTTGTAGTTAAACATGTATTAGTTTTTACTGTTATTTCTGTATCAGCTGTTATTGATATGCAGTCATTTTAACACCTATATTTCTGTAGAGGTTTAACACCTCCAGAGCTCTTCACACCTTCAACAACTTCTTCTTCTTTTCATGTGGTGAAACGGGTCATTGACACAAATAAAGTGTGAACTTTTTGTGACAATGCTAAATGCTAAGTAAAGGCTGTTAAATGCTTCCTTTCTTAGCTCCTTTAGCAAAGGCTACACTGGACAGTTCTTTATGAAAGGAAAGGAGATAATGCTTTCCCACAATTCCTTGCAACAGCAGCCTTTAGAGCCACTCACCATTAGTTTCACCACGATAGACACCCATAAATGTACAGGAGCATCTAAAAAAATTACAATATCTTAGAAAAGTTTATTTGAACTGAACCAGACTGAGAGATTAAAGGATCAGGAAACATTTGCAGGCGTTTTGAATTGATTCTCAGGTCAATTTCTATATATTATATTTATAACTTTAATTATAATTATGAATTTAAAAAACTGAGATGCACCTGTAGAAACAACAGAGCATCTATTTAACAAATGTATAAAAATATCAAAAGCACCCATCCCAGGAAACTCTATATTTATGTTTGAGTATAATTCACTCAACTTTCTCTACTTGTATATTGATTTTGTTATTATATTGTGTCAGCATTTTAATCCCTTTTGTTTTTTCAGCAGTATCTATGTTGTTGTTACTTCCTATGAGCAGCCTAACTGATGGTTAAATGTACCAAATGAAACATCCTTTCTTAGGAGGTGTGATTCTGTGTTGGACAGGAAACCTTTTGAAGTGAGCAGCATTGAGTTTGTCACTGTACTCATCTTCCGCGTGTTATAAATAAAGTTGGTTAAAAAGAAGCTGGTGTAAGTGCAGCCTGGTTCTCTGAGCACCGCGGTTGTCTTTTATGAATTCTCCTTCACATCTTTCCTTGACCTCATGACGTTTTCCAGCAAAGTCAAGGAAAAGTGTTTAGGAAAGGACAGAGGATGGATTTTTTTTACCATTACAATGTTTGTATTTAATGTTTCATGGTTTTATGTTATGTTGTGAGGACAAACATGACCACAGTTTCCAGGTTCAGTTCGTCCACAGACACATTTTAAATCTCCAAACATGCTGAACAAAGAACAGCCTGAAGATTATTGAAATAATTATTGACTTTCTCCCGTTCTGTGTGTCTGTAATTATAATTGTCAGGACCAATTAGAGTTTGAGACCTTGGGAGTGAGGACGTTTTGTCTGGTCCTCACTTTGGGACAGACCTTTAAAAGAGTGTTTTAGGGTGAAAATTAAATAAGGTTTAAGTTCAATGAAGGTTTGGGTCATTTAGTTGTGATGGTTAAGAGTTAGGGACAAAGCTATACTGTGAGAGACAGAGAGAGCTCTCTGCTGGCTGTTGACTCCAGAGCGCCATCATGAGGTCAGTCTGTGTTTCTGTTTCTTTTGTTTTTAATTCAAAGAAATCTCAACATCTACTGAACAGACTGATATTTTTGCACATCAGTTGAAATACTTGCAGTAGTGGAGTGTAATTAAGTACATTTACAAGTTCATACAAATATGATCTAGTTAGTAATCCATTATGCTTCCTCATCTCTGTTGAGTCTGTGGTCACTTTTCCATCAGGGAGGCGGAGACACACCATTTGTCTTTTCAAAACTGACTTCCCTAAATTAAAGAAGAAGGTGGATAGTGCATCTACAGGTGCATCTCAGAAATTTGAATATCAGGAAAAAGTTATTTTTATTTACATAATTTAAGTCAAAGTGAAACTTTCTAGCTTCATTCCACAAAGTGAAATATTTCAGGCCTTTTGTTGTTTTAATCTTGATCATTATGGCTTACAGCTCATGGAAATTAAAAATCCAGCCTTCACTCTCAGACACCTTTATTGATTCAGCAGCACCTTCAGGACTCCTTCCATACAGCCGGTAAGTGGGGTTTTGCAGCGCTGTGCTTTTGGTTGGATGTATTTTACAAGAACGACGTGAAGAGAGCATGCACAGTTGTTTATATTGCTGTGTGTAGCCTGTAGAAGTAATCTTACTTAAATTAAGTAAATTACTTCTACCCACAGAAACATAAACAATAGTGCTCTGTTCACTTCATTCTTACAGTTTGAGGTTTCACGGGCCTCAAGAGGTCTGCTCTTATTTTTTGTAATTTGACTAAAAACTATTTAAAAACAAAGTTTAGGCCAGTTTGAAGAAGAGTCGGCTACTATTACTTTAAACTATCATTGTTACAGTATTAAAAAAAACATAGTGTGCCTTTATAAAATCGTTAAAAAGGCTTGTACTGATACTTATTCCTTCGAATTATACTTATGAGCCCTTTTTTGAATTTTGTCATTCAATTCAGAGCAGTTAAATTAAAATGATATTTTAAAAATGATAAAAGTACTTAATACAACAGTAACAGTTGTGTTTACAACAGCAAAACCAAAGGCTTTGCCATCGACGTCTCCAGGTCATTTTCCCGCGGCTTTAGCCCCGAATGTAACTCAACAACAGCAACAAAAATATTTTCCATGTTAATATGCAATAATCTTCATGATGCAGCCTGTCTCGCAGGTCTTCAAAGAGCGGAGGCTACTCGAAATAATGCGTTTTAGAAGAGCAGGAGAGAGAGAGAGACAGAGAGAGCATTGCTCACAGCTTCAGGGCTTATCCGCGACTTGTGAATTGTCCCTGGCAAAATTGTAATCAATACATTTAATTATAAATGTTGTCGGTCAGTGTATTTGTTACACAAAGAGTAAAGTAATGAGAGAACATCATGACACCTGTCCTCTGTGTCCTGCTGTCTCTCCCACTCGCTCAGAGACACTTTGCTCTGTTTGACTGTCTCTCTGCTCCAGGATGCTTCATTCCCTCTAAAGCGGATGTGATCTGCACTTTATCAGCTGAAGTGAACATTAGTGTGGAATTGTGGTGATATTTCTGTCTGATCACAAGTGTTTTCAGTTTCGGTTTTCTCCCTCTGATGAAGAGCAGTGAGCTCCTCTCATCCAGTAGGCTACAAGTCAAATTATTTATTTATATTGGCCGAACTGTTTTTTTAACGATCAAGCATCGGCCTATACTGACATTGGGCTGGTCCAATCACATCTCTTACCTCCAGTAAAAGCACAGCCAGAGATGTACAGGCAGCATCAGATACAAGCAGCTCAGACCCTAATGGAGGACTGAGTTAATGCTTAGCAAGGGAAGCTGGTGAGGAACATACTGACACATTTCATACACTTTAATCAAAAATATTATATCATTATTATGAAAACACATTCATGATAATTAATTATTTTAAATGCAAAACACATCCACCATCCTGATGAACAGCTGGAAAAATACTGTAGGCTATGTCTGTAATTAGGAACACAAAAATTCAAAAATATCCAACAAGATGAAAGAGCTCACTGTACAGGCAGCACATCCACCCGACATTCATCTGTGGAGACATCTTTGGAGGTGGGCTCACTGGGCTTAGAAATTTAAGCAAAGCACCTTGAGAGGAAAGAAGAAAGGGTTGTATGGTAACCTAGCTTTTCATATTGATTCATTTAGATGATTAGAGACAACAAATTAACAAAGTTCACAACCACCAATGCTTTCATGAAACAGCATTTACCTAAATGGCAACACCTAGTTTATATTTTCATTTTGTACACTGAAATGAGTTGTAGCCAACATGGCACATTCAAAGCATTAAGCTTATCTGCCGTTCGTGTATGAATTAGGCAGAAGCTAACTTTATTTTTCTTATTTAGCAGTAGAGAGTTTTAGCACAGTTTACAGCCACCAATGCTGCGAAACATAAAACATTCTTTTCCCCCAGCTGCTGGCAACATCCTGCCTTACGGTAACTTTTTTAGAGTCAGTATGAACGATGTCTTCCTGATTCAACTTCTGCTGAGCTTCAATTCTCAGAAAAAAAGAGCCGCAAAGATAAAATGAGGAACCATCAGTTCTCAGAGCAGTAAAATATCATCTTATCTGTGTTCTTCAGCAGCTGCTACAGTATCACCATATTGCACCATGGACATCAGGAGTCAGATTCTGGTGGGAGAGGAGTTTGACTCTTCACCTGTCTGTTCATGTGTGCTGTCAAACATCACCATGGATCCTGTCTGTTTTCTAATAAACACTATCTGAAGAAAACAAGTTGCATCATTGCAAACATTTATCTTAACTAACAATCTTCTCACCTTCATCTTCCTCTTCTTCTTCTTTTCGCTTGGTGAAACACGTCATTGTCACAAATAGACCTGAATGAACAAAGTGTGAACTCTGATGGCTGCATCTCATGTTGCTGATCAAGAATTTGGGGTCTCTGTCAGTCACTGTGGATGAGAGAAAACTACATTTCAAAAATGTAAAAGTGAAAACTGTCACAGAGTTTTTGGCTGTTTGGACATCAACAAGAAATTCAGAGAGACTGAAATCTAAAACAGAGTAAAAGTCACTATGAGGAAGTGACATCATCCTAACCACAGGAAGTAGCTGCAGCGTCTCTCTACTAAAGCACTAGTTTAGAAACTCAGACAGTTCTGAGCACGAGAACAAGAGACAGAAGAAGGAGAGACTCAGAGAATCATGATGGTTGAGTTCAAATGGATTTCTTTATTTCTTACAGCGGTGCTTCAGTTTACAGGTAAGAATACATATATCACATATATAAATGGAAGGCACATTGTAAAAAATAACTTGATCAATATTATTAAAGATTCTTTATTAGCTACATTTGATTTAACTAAGAAAACCAAATCTGTTGTTTCTAATGTGGTGAGTTTAG